TGTTGCTCTTGCTGGAGTTCTGTCTCCGCAGCTTCGACCTTCAAAACCATGACTGCTTGATTATGTGTTAGTTTTGTCTTGCTTTGTTCTGACGGCCCTTGCAGTACCCATCCCAGTATAGTTTCTACAGCCATCAGTCTGTCCTCGATTCTTTGAGTTCTACCAGTAAAGAATTCCCAATAATAGTCTGAGCCGATCAGTAGTTGTACAGAATTTGTTGCAGTCGTCTTGGTCCTGTGATCAGCCACTTGCATATTTAGCTGTTTCATTTTCTCGCTGAGTTTCTTAGTTGGAGTGGGAATACAACTGTGCGAGATAACGTCGACTTGTAACGCTTCAATCACTGTTGTCGTGCTTGTTTGTCGTGATCCTACAGTCACTTGCACCACGTTTATTAGTTTGACCTTTTCGTCTCCTCCAAATGAACCAATCGTCAGCCTTTCCTGTCGCAACACCTTCGCACCTATTTCTTTCGCTAATCTCGCTTCAATAAACGAACGTTGACTTCCGCTGTCTAATAACAAACGGCAATGTCGGCCACATGTTTCTCCTTCTACGCACGCTACAGCCGTCTGCAAAAGCACAAACTTATGCTTGATATTTTCGGTTGCTTGTAGCGTAGACGTCGTCGCTTCGGCTTGCGCTGTTGAGACCAGCTCTGCCCTTGTTTTCTGCATCACCGTTCTACATACTGACGTGGCATGTCGTCCCTTGCATTGCTTGCATTTTACTTGGGCCTTGCAAATGCGTGCAGTGTGGTTTGGTCGCGTGCATCTGAAGCATGCTCTATTTTCGGTAAGCATAGCTTTCGTTTCATCCATTGTAATGCTCCTACGACAGTTTTCGGTTGCGTGGGATGTCTGCTTGCAGAATAAGCATATTTTGTCCGCTGAGCTATAGAAGCTTGAAGTTGTGCGCATCTGTCCGCGGTTCTCTCTTGGTTTTGCAGTTATCCTTTCTTGTTCACGTTGTGTTTCTTCACAAAAAGCCGCTTGCTCTCTTAAGAATAACATAAGCCTGTTCAGCTTTTCCTCGCACGCCTTTCCCGTTGCGTTGTTTTGCTCGCCGTTTTCTGAAGCTGAGCTGTTTCTCATAGCCTCTTTTGACTTGAACTGCACTGATAGTTCTGGTGGAATTGCTCTTTTCAATACCAGTAATAACATCGGCGCATAGCTCCCAGTTTCTACTTTTATTTACTTGAGTGCCAATATGTTAACTTGCACTCTCTGTACTAGCCTATTTAAGTCATCGGTATCTTGAACAGACCTCACTTTCTCCAAACTCAATAGCTCATTCATGTGCATTTCAATGGAATGTTCTCGATTGCCGAACGTTTTTTGCAGTATTTTGATTTCGTTATCATAATTTTCCTCTGCCGAGTACTGAAGTCCTTCAATAGCAGCCGCAGCTTTTCCGGTTAGTGATGCTAACAAGTAATTGAACTTCTGTCCCTTGCTCATGTTCGGTCTCAGGTGAACTGCCGACTCGTACTGAGACCAAAAACGGTTCCACTCCAAAGTTTTTCCCCCAAACTTTATCATTTCGAGCTTTGGTAGCTTAACTAGTTCCGTTGCTTCTTGTCCCGTACTTGAGGGCGTCACCTGCCTTGTCCTATCGGTTGAATCCGATTGTTCAGGCGGTTGAAGTCTGACTTCTATTGCAGATAAGATCGTCGTTAATTTCATGTCGTAGTCTATGACGCTTTCGAATTCAGCTTCGGCGTTGTCTTTTGTTAGAAACTTTTCCATTTGCTCGTTCGCGCTCTTGAGACTGTCGCTTATTGCTTTAATCTGCGCTTGCGTTGTAAGCAGCTGCTCCCGGTTAGCTCCATCATTTATTTGCAGCTCGGCTGCGTTAATCAGTCGCGTGATCTGGGAGCGAAGCGCTTTCCTTTTCTTCGTTATCACTTCTTTGCTCATATTGAGGCGGTTAACAATGACTCCTTACTTGTCAATCGTTCGTTCTGATGCTCGTACTGTCCACCGTGGTCTCGTCGCTCGATCCAGGTCGATCCTCTGCTCCTCCGCCGTTTTCTTCTCTGCTGCTCCGTGGCAGGTTGACCTTTCTTGCCGGCGAGGAGGTAGTATCCTGGTTCACGGCACCTTTATTAAGACGATCGAGACCAGGGACTGCTTCGAACGAATACGGTTTATTGGAAGAAGTGAAGTAGCGCGCGCTCGCTCCAGGCAGCAGTCTTCTTTCTTCTTCTTCCGGCGTTTGATGATGATATTTTATATTACATATCAGTCGGAGAAGTACCGGCTAAGTGCGGCTGGCAGCTTTCGGTGACAGCCTGCGTAGCTGCAAGCGCGACGTTCGATCGTCAGCTCTCCTTTTGCGAACATCGACAGAAGACAAAATAGTTGATTTAGGTTCAAGGATGTCTAAACTATACTTTTGAGTTATTCTCACACTTCAAAGTCATGTGTACGCGAAGCGAGAAGCGCCGGTAACATATATACCAATGCGGCTGACATGACAGGTTTAAAGCTCGCTGGGCCGGGCACTGGGTAAGACCGCTTACGTATGCTCGGTATCTGTTAAGAAAAATACGTATGCTCGGTATCTGTTAGGGTAGCATCTCTCCCTGCCGTCGAATCAAGCGTTTTATATTCAATGACACTGAAACAAACCACGGCACACGCTACAACAACATGCACGCTGCAGCTGCGCTGATAGAAACAGTGCGTGCTCCAGTATTCACCAGTGCTTGCCAGTGAAAATTTTTTCGCTTCCAGCGCTTCGCAGTGCGCACCATCATCACAGTGGCTGAGCCAGTGACCCCGCCAGTGCGACACAGCTTTTTCCCAGTGCGCCCAGCGAAAGGCCAGTGATTACAAGTGTGTACCAGCGTCTCCAGCATGTACCAGTGCCAAAAAACGTACTGGCATCACGCTGTTTTTGAAGAAGGGAAGCTTTCGCTGTTGGCAGATGTTGGAGAAACTACTGTACACCAATGTCTAGCCTTAGCCTCTCGATACTTTTTTCTGGTCACGAAACTTCAGGCAAAGTTTTGTATAGAGACAAAGCCTCCCGCCAGGGGGCGTTACGGCAGACTTGGGGGCGTCATCCCGGGCGCCTAAACAGCGTTTCTGGCGTGTGAAGAAGTTTTCGTGGCGGAAAGTCGCTCTGGTGGCTTCACGAATATATTTCCGTGGGTTTTCATATACTGATCACCCATCGCGTACAGGCGGCGTACTCGTACCTGCGCGTAGCGGCCATAAATATCTGTTCGGTTGCGGCAGTGTTCTATTCATTTCGCGGTGAAATCGGCGTGCAGCCACGGCCTGCACTCTCATTTAGCAAAGAGTGCTTGGTCATGCCTTTTTGACGCTTTTAATTTTCTCTGAGGCTGTAGCCCACCGTCAGCGGAAAAACCGCGACCAACATTGCCAGTACACAGCAGTAAGTGCGACGAGCGCGAATCCCAATTCTTCACCGATAAACGTGCTGACGAGCGCAACTTACGCGATGATACTTTCTCCCGGTGATTCATGCATGCTTTAAAAAAAAGATTTAGTTTAAATTCGAATGAATATACATGACCGAGTTAATTATGTTACTTTAGGGTACAATTCCATGCGCCACCGACGCTCGGCGTAGGAAATACGACGTTAGAGAAAAAAGATTGTAGCTTACCCGTGCGTTGCTAAGTTCTTTCTCGGGCAGACTGCACTTACAAGACTATGGAGTGAATATCACAACATTATTGTAATAATACGAGTGAAAACCCTAATAAAGCTCTTTTAACTGCCTCTGTGGCTAAGCAGCTAAGGTGTGTGTCTAAACATGCTTGGTGAAGCGGTCGCATTCCAGGGAGAAGAGGCGCAAGATGTGTACTTAGATATACAAGCACATTGAAAAGCCACATGAGATACTTCTTTTTTTCCTTGCGAAACGTCTAAGGGCTCTCGCATTCTGCAAAATGCCAAGCTATTGTATAATGTATTTTCCCAGCAATGCTCTACAGCAGCTCCTTTCCCTTGGACAAAAGTTGAACAGAGTTTTTGTGCAGCTATTAATCTACAGGAAATAATCAATACTTTTAGCACCTTAATTAGGGTTGAAAGCATGTAGACTTAATCTATTCTATATATTCATCGAGCGCCTTCTTCGCGGGAGCGACCGTGCGGCACGCAAGAAGTCTTCTGCATCGCTCGTCACGCTGCCACAATTTATTCGTCACATTTGAATACGATGAGATGCATAGAAAGCACCGCACACACGCCGATACAACACGACTCAAAAAACAACCACACCAAGCCGTGACACCGTCGCCTCACTGACTGCTTCGACGAGTGCCGCAGCTGCCCCCTCAACACTGGTGGCACCGCCCCACGGTCAAAGTTGGCGACACACAAAGCTCTCCCATAGAGTGACGGAGATGTTTCGTTACCAGTAAAAAGTATTGAGGGACTATGGTCTAGCTATGTAATCATAACATGACGCTACTATATTCGAGCTCTTTGATCAGCATTCGTGACGTTGTCAGAGACTCCGCTTTAATTCGCTGAAACCATAATGTTCGCATAATTGTTTTCGAAACCAAAAACGAAAACAGCCAGCAAGGTGACATTGTGTGGCCCCCCTTTGCATTTCTCGCCTTTAATTACTACCCATCAGTTGACCCACCTGCTGTACCCTCGGAGGTACATGGTCGTCCTGGTCACCAAGAAGCCCGCGAAAAGGCTGTTTTTGGACATGAAAGACGGCTCTCGTTTCTCGGCGGCCGACTACTTCCAGAACCAGAACGGCCACTTGTTTCACCCGAACCTGCCCTAAATTCAAGTCAGCGCCTCATACCCCCGGCTTACCTACTCCTCAAGTTGGGCGAAATTGTCGAAGGCCAGCTTTGCCGATGAAAACTGGACAAAAATCACACTTCAGAGATAATTAGGCGAACTACTAAGCTTTCGGCCAAACACTTCAACGATATCCGCCAGTCCGTCCGGAACCTGCTCAGCAGTAGCATCTAGTGCCTGCGCGAGTTCAACATCAAGATGAGCACCGAACCGACTCAGCAGAAAGGCCGGGTGCTCGAGCCACCATTCCTAGTGTTCCAGAACAATGCGGCGACAAAGCCTCCCAAGGGCACCTGGAAACTGCGCGGCAAACACTTCTACAAGGCGGCCTCACTAATGCACTGGATGCTGCTAAATCTGAGCCGCTTCGCTCAGAGAGACAGGGAGGTTTTTTTTTGCTTTAGGAGCTCACGGGCATACGCGAGCATACTAAGGGGGTTCGCAATATGCCCCCCCCCCCACTTCACTCAGCCTGTCCGGTCATGATGACAATGGCTCATCAAAGTTTCCTTTCTTTTTAAAAATATTTGATTTTAAAAAGAAAGGAAACTTTGATCATTATCAAAGGAAACGTCATCATTATCGTTCGTGCCGATAATGATGACGGACTTCCAGGAGCCCGTCATCATTATCGGCACGAACGTCCGGTGCCCCGGTAGAAGCACCACCCCTCCATCACTATCTGCGTTGGCAGCCTGGACTCAATGCCTTCCAGGTTTCACGCTTAAATTCGGGTACAGATGGAGGATTGGAGGGCAACATCTCGCGTGGAGATCATCGGGGACCTGAAGGACATGATGAAGGATCTGCTCAAGCCCTTCTGCCAGGCCACCAAGCACAAGCATGAGCGCATCATCTTCTACCAGGGTGGTGTGAGCGAGGGTCAGTTCATGGAAGTTCGCAGAGAAGGTCAGCGCACGTGGCTGTGGCCCCCTGGAACGATTATCTTTGGTACTTTTCGCATTGTAATAAAAAATGGCTGCTGCCAGCCCTATATAAATAACTATATACCTCGTGATATGGTTGTCGCCTGCATGAAACTTAGGCCTGTACGGTGCTCGCGCTTCCAAATGTTTTCTTAGTATGGCTGCTGCCATGCACGCCTGTTCGGCCTAATGCTCTAGTTTCGTAATCGATACGGCTGACGTCAGCGTGATGCCAGGGCCTAATCTATGTAATAGATATGGCTGTTGGTTAGGCTGCTTCTCGCTCTGCAGTGTAATCAGCATGACTTCAGTCTTAATACTATCTAGACCTGGAACAAACCTACAATTCTCCATCTTTCAGTCGGCCATCAACATCTTTGTCTGTCGTTCCTTTCTGTGCGTAACCCCAGGAGCATGCCATGCGGCTCGCCTGCCAGCAGCTGTCTCCCAACGGGACGTAAAAGCCGGCCTTTACTTTCATCGTCGTCCAGAAGCGACACCACACCCGGTCATGCCGGGCACTGACCACGATGGCGTCGGCAAGTGTTGGAACGTCCCGCCCGGCAGCACCGTTGACTCCGTGGTCACTCACCCGCTGGACTTCGATTTCTTCCTGTGCAGCCACTTCGGCATACAGGTACAAGCGCGATTATCAGTGCGCATGTTCCCACACCTTAAAAAATAACCAAACGTACGTTTATGGCTAGGAGTATATAAGTGGTTATACCCTGCGTCGTAGCTTAGCTGCCACTATGGTGTCACGCTGCCAGCTCGAAAGCGCTGTTTCGATTCCCGGCCAAGGTCACGTAATTTAGCTCACTCTTCGAAAAACCCCACGCAGCCGCCATACAACGTACAACGTGTGGTTAAACCCCCAAGTATCACAACTTTAATAGTTGTTTTTGTTTTAAGCAATAATTTTGGGCTGTCTGTCGTTCTGTCTGTCTGTCAAACCAATCGTCCAACCAGCGAAAGTTTGAGTACTCGCTGAACGCCCAGCCATCTTGGTCTGGCGGCTGCATTCATACATTATGCACGATTGAGGTGCCACATCAATATGTAAAATCAGTACGCAGTTTGTTTACTTAGGAAGTGCATAGATCCGTGTTGATTACGCAGCGCTGACAGTGCGACACTATGAACGAAAAACGGGCATTTCCTACGCTTCGCTAAAAGGATACGGCGCTGCCAGTGCTCTGCCGCTCCACAGAAACTTCCGTATCTTGAGACTACTGCCAGGTGGCATCCATATCTGGAACGAGCAGAGCCTCCAAACGGAAGACAATGGTCTTTAGACGACCTTTGCATCGAATCACCCAGGTACGCGGCCCATTTTTCCAAACGTCTTTTGCAGTCTTGTCATTTTCTTTTTTTTACACACCGGCTCAGGGCACGAGCAAGCTGTCCCACAACTACATCATGTGAGACGACTCGAACTTCTCGACCAACGACCTGCAGAAGCTCAGTTATTACCTCTGCCTCACGTATGCCCGGTGCGCGTGCAGCGTCAGTATTTCCACTCTGGCGTACTGCGCCCACCTGGCAGTGTACCGCGCCAAGAACCACATAATAAACAAGGTTGACGTCTCGAGTTCGAGCAGTGACTTGTACGGTGGCTCCACCAATGCGGTCACCAACAGCCAGTACGTGCAGGCTGTCAAGGTGGTCGACTATCTGCAGATGGTCATGTACTTCGTCTGATCGTCTTCCTCGGTTCTCCGGATGAAGTTGGTTGACGTTAATGATCAAAAGAATTTTCCCCCGTATTCATCATCATAATCAGTCTGACTACGCCCACTGCAGGACAAAGGTCTCTCCCCTGTTCCGCAAGCCAATTCGGTCCTGTGCTTGGTGCTTCCACCTAATCTGCAAACTTCCTAATCATATCTGCCCACCTAACTTCGTCTTTCCCTCACGCGCTTGCCTTCTCTTGGAATGCAGTTAGTTACCCTTAATGACCAGTGGCTATCCAGCCTACACGCTACGTTCCCGTGGCCCGCGTCTATTTTTTCTTCTGGATGTCAACTGACACCCTTAACCCCGGCTTGTTCCTTGATCCGATCTTCCCCCGTAATAATGTAGTAAAATTTCCCAACTCCGAAACACCATTGTTCCTGTAACACGCCACTTGCTAAGCGAAAAAACGCGGCCAAAGAAAATCTTGGTAGAAATGCCCGGAAGCGCCCCAGGGGGTAGAACACGAGGCACCCGTGTGCCCCCCTAGCTATGATTCTGGGAGAGCAGGCTTCAAAATGCAGGTTCTGGGCGAGCCGTTTTCAAATTTTGTAGCCAGGGGGTGGCAGACGGGTGCCACCCCCTGGCTACCCAGTTTAAAAACCACCCGTATTGCTAAACAATGTGAAAATCAAACCTAAATTATTTTTCCAATTGTTTTTTAAGTGATAGTTAACAATTTCGGGCACTAGTTCATTAAACAGCGCACCTCTTCTGAAGCTGAAGCTAGCCAGGTCTGGCCCTCCGGCTCTGAGACACACCCATAGATGGTGCCACTGCCGAGGTCGTTTATTGAATGTGGCGATATCCCCCCAGGTATGCGTGTCGTTACGAGCCATCATGATGCCTTGGGTTTTAGGGACAAGCGTGGAGAAGCTCGAAACGTTCACGATAGAAGCAAGTAAGACACGATTAAGGAAAGAACTCTCGAGATAAACGACAGAAATACGGGAGGAAATGAAGTCAATATGTCCGAAGACGGACCGTGAATTCCTATTTCTCGTTATATTAGGATGGGCTTAGTTAAAGTAGGCAAGGCATTAGGCTGACGTTAACAGTTTTCTTTTCGTTTTGTCTTTACTTTGGAGCTTGGTGGCACACAGGTCACCACCCCGCTATGGGCGTGACATCACTACTGACATGAGCTTACCTCGCCTTTTCGCGCATGTTCTTATCGGAACCCTGCTGATTCGTCTGCTTGATTTCTTCAATGTGAGTGGAGGCCTGCCATTGGACAGTTACGGTTAACGTGATAGCGAAGGTTAAGGGAAGGGTGTTACCGTGCAGCCAACGTTCGTTATGAATAGCGTCCTGTAGTTTAGCGGGATAGCGTTTACGTGGTTTACGTACCTTGGCTGGGACGGTGGCGCCACCTATGGAATGGTTAATAGGTAAACACAGTGAGAAACAAAAGAAAATGAGAATGTTCGCCTATGCCTTCGCAGGAAGCATTGTTACACGTTTATTTTACTAATAATCAAGCAAATATGAACCATGCACCAAACGCGAAAACGCTGTTGCCGATTTGTTTACATCGATCTTGTAGTTAGGCCTAGGCACGTTCTAAATAGGACGCTGTCTCAAAAATGAAACCAACTTATCCGTAATACTTGATCATCGAAGCTAACTGAATGCAAGCGAAGCCACTCTAAAGAGTCGTTTGCTGTAATTAAGGCGAATCTTTCAACTACGCCAAAATCACTTCGAAGCGGGCGTCTGAGAGTGCTGCCATGTTTACCTACACTACGTATACTTACGCTACCATGGAAACCTTAAATCTGAAAAATACAGCACGTACGGTAAGTGGTACAAGTAACGTACTTATACTCACATGTGCACTTCAGTTCCGGTACCACGGTACGCCCGGTATTCCGGTAAGCCCAGTATACTATAACTGCCTATCGTCTTCATAATCTACGTTACGGAAAGATGCGTGCGATCCTATGGTGATGTCGTTTCCTCTGGTAAACCACAGGCAAGTGCTAACGTTGAACTATTTCAAGCATCCAGTCTAGCAACCCCCTTCGTCAATTGATATAGCACGGGTGGAGGCCTTACTAAAGCATCACTTCGACAGAGTGCTGCTGGAGCGTGACACCGCTGCCGACATGAGCTTACCTCGCCTTTATGCGCAGGTTGTTATCAGACCCCTGCTGATTCCGCTTCTTGGTTTCTTCAACGGAAGCGGAGGCCTGCCATGGTCTTTATATTCTACGTTACGGACAGATGCGTGAGATCCCATGGTAATGTCGTTTCCTTTGGTATACGTAAAGCAAGTGCCAAAGTTAAATTCTTTTAGGCATCTGGCCTAGCAACTACCTTCTTCCACTGATACAGCAGGGGCGAAGGCCCTACTGAAGCATCACTTCGACAAACTGTTGCTGCGGAGTGGCACTGCAGCTGACATGAGCTTACCTCGCCTTTTCGTGCAGGTTAGTTACCAAAACCCTGAATCTTGTTCAAAACCCCGAAATCGTTGTTCGATAAGGGTGTCGTGCCAAGACTGCCTATTTCAGTTTTTGAAAAAGTGCACGCGTTTACGCGTGTTTTGCTCTCGCGTCTTTAATGTATTTAGCTTACTGTTTTCCGGTGACGAGGAACTAAACCCTGGCCCTGGTTCGGCTACAAGAAGTGAAAGAAATAGTGCTAGTCTTGAAGGCATGTATGAAATTTTAAGCTGGCTCGAGCAGGGCCAGAGGGATTTTTATTTCGCTGAACTAGAAGAAGTAGGGAAACAGCGTTCTGCTTTTACTGCTTCTCTTCAGGAGCTGCAGAGTACCATTGCTGCTATTCAGTGCGACTTTCTTACTGTGAAAGAAAGCTCATCCGAAAATTGGCAGAAACTGGTTGAACTCGGAACGTCTTTTGAAGATAGCGGCAACAGGTCTCGCAGCAACAACCTGATAGTGTTTGGGCTGCCTGACAATGCAAATGAAAGCTGGCGCGAATCCGAAAAAAATGCAATCGCGTATTTTTAAGAAGAGCTTGATAAGACTGTCACAACACAAGATACTGAACGTGCCGACAGATTAGGAAAGTACTGTGAGGAAAGAAACCAACCAATAGTCATCTCTTTTTCTAGATATAAATTTAAAGAAGAAATTTAGTATTCTAGATCAAGGATGAAAGATAAAGACTATGTCATTAGGGAGTATTTCGCTCCTGCTACTAGATGGGCGCGCTTTAGGTTGACTGAATAAGCTCAAGGTCTGAAACGCCCTTTCAAGCTACGCTTAGATAAACTTTATATGGGAAATAAAACTTTTGTCTATAACTCTGGAGCAGATAGGGTTACGGAACTCAAAAGATACCTACGTGGCAATCGATTTGCTTACCAAAGAGCCGCAAGTGCGAATTCTAAACGTGCCCCTCTTCGCAACATATCTCTAACTATACTGCTGGTAAACTGCCGCAGCATCAAAAATAAAGTGAATGAATTCACTGATTTGTTGTCTACTACGCAACCTTTTATACTAATTAGAAGTGAATCCTGGTTACATGAATCCATTGCTAAATTTAAAGTATTTCCTCCTGGTTACGATGTATACCAATCTGTTGGGAACCCACAAGGGGGCGGTGTTTTTACACTTATCAATAAACTTCGTCAGAGCAGTGACTTGTCCGTTACTTTTCTTCATTCAGAATACGTTTGGTGCAAGGTCCGACTTAACAATCGAAATTTCTTTGCGGTTGGTTTCTTCTACCGATCCCCTAGCTCGACTTACCCAGAATCATTCGATGAGTTATCACAATTTTCAAAAACAATAAACTGCGACGTTATTCTTGGAGTAGACTTTAGTATACCTCTGGTTGCCTGGAATAATGGTAAACCTGTGTTCTCCAACTCGAGTTCACTGTCCTCTTTTTTCTCAGAGCTTGTCACGACAAATTATCTCACTCAATTTACTTTGAGTGCACGAGACAAGGTCACTCTTCCGCCAGCATGCTGGCTTTGAGTTTCGCTAACTCTGAGTCATTGCTGCATGATGTGGTTGTCTTCCCAGGTATTATTCCATGACTTTGTCGTTGCCACTTACATTAACACACTATTATTATTAGCCCACAAAAAACCTCGAAAAGTTAATTTTTATGAGCGAGGTGACTATGCGTCTTTGTCTCAAAAACTTTATGTTTTCTACCCTGAATTCTGCGAAGTGGCTTGGTCAATCAACGTTGATGAATTGTGGTCTATTGTTTGTGATACATTGATTAACTTAGCTGAAGAATGCATCCCTTCTAAACTCGTAACAAGTCGACGCCGCAATGACAAACCATGGGTAAACAAGGAAATTTGAACTTTTATTAGCAGGAAACACCGCCTCTAGGCTGCATATTTAAAAAAATTGCAAACAGAGTGTGCCTGAAGAAATGCGTGATATAGGCTACAAAATAAAACATTAAATTAAAGTAAATAACGAGAAATACATTTCATCGCTCGATGTAGCTCCCAAAACTTATCCTAAAACTTTTTCGCAATTCATTAAAGTAAACTGTAACAAATTGTACGCAATACCAAATCTTTTGTCAACAGAGAAGCAGTGTTGATGATTACAAGAAAACTTGCTCTTTTAGCTCTTATTTTAAATTCGTGTTTTGCAACACGAGCGCAAAACCACTTCCCGTAATTCCAGAATTACCTTACGATTATGCCCATGGTCACTTTCACGTACAATGGTGTTCTTAGGCTGCTTAGTAACCTGAACAAACAATGCAGCTGGAGATCTTGATGGCATACCAACCAAGGTAATCAAAACATCTCCTCAGGAAACTGTTAATTTTTAGCCGTCTAGGTCAATATATCTCTACACTGTAGTTCTGTAGCAACACAATGTAAAACAGCAGATGTTCCCATTCATGAAAGCGGTTCCAAACATTGTATTCAAAACTGTAGACCGATTTCGCTAACTTCTGTATACTGTAAAGCTTTAGAGCATAACATTTACAATGCTGTGATGAAACACCATGAA